ACTACAGGGTCAGTATTAAGTTTGTGAGTTATAAGACTGGGGTCAATACCGAGCATATCGACCGCGGACCATGCAAAAATATCTAAATTTTGAAGTAAGAAACTTACCAGTTCGGATCGTAGAGGTTCCTCGACGGAAGCACCGATTTGTAGCGTCCGAGCTGGGTCCGCAGCTGAAGTTGGGATCGCGACCGTTTCTTCTGTGGGCGCAGCTCATTCTTTGCCTTGCTCCGTAGGCCGTTCCAGTTTGAGGTCGTCGGCTACCTTGGTTTTTCCCTTCAGGGCGACAACATAGCATTTGCGGGACTCGAGCTGGTCGCCTCGCACTACTCCCACACCGAAGTTTGTAGGAAACTTCATTGCCAAGTAGTAGGTGGAGACCACTGCTCGTAGGACATGAGTGATTGGCCGCCCTATTATGGGATTGTATGGGGAGGGGGTCGCGACCACCAGGAAATCGTGGTTGAGTCTGACCGCACAGGGTCATGTGCCGACTTCCACAGGTACTGTTATTTTCCCGAGGGGCCTAACTTCCTCTTCACTGAAGCCCACTAGAGGAGTATTTGTGGGCTTCAACTCGCTTCTTCGCAACTGAAGCTGGTCAAACGCCGACTTGAAGAGAATGTCCGCCGAACTGCCTGAATCAACAAGCACGCACCTGACTTCGAAGTCGTTGATCCTTAGTTTTATGACAAGCGCATCATCGTGGGGGTAGTGGACCCCTCGCGCATCGTCTTCCATGAAGAAAATCGGTTCCTCCGTCTTCGGCCTCTTCGGAGGGTTCTGCTCTTCTCGGGCAGCTTCGCGAANACTTCCTCTCCGCTGAAGCCCACCAGGGGAGTGTTTGCGGGCTTCAACTCGCTTCTCTGCAACTGAAGCTGGTCAAACGCCAACTTGAAGAGAATGTCCGTCGAGCTGCCTGAATCAACAAGTACGCGCCTGACTTCGAAGTCGCTGATCCTTAGTTTTATGACAAGCACATCATCGTGGGGGTAGTGGAACCCTCGCGCATCGTCTTCCGTGAAGAAAATCGGTTCCTCCGTCTTCGGCCTCTTCGGAGGGTTCTGYTCTTCTCGGGCAGCTTCGCGAATTGACGCTCGGGCCGTTGCCGAAGTACAACCCGCTACTACCGAACCTCCCACTATCACGTGGATGGTTCCCCGAACTGGCCTCTCTTCCGGAGGCTATCTTTGCGACTGTTCGGTCGGCTTGCTGCTGGACTCAGGAGCATCCTTGTCGTGCTCCCCTTGCCAATCTGTCTTATTATTATTATTATTATTCTGTTGTACAAAATTTCTTAAGTACCTGCGACGGATGAGTCCCTCTATCTCGTCGCGGAGATTACTACAATGTTCGGTACTATGACCGTGGTCTCTAGGGAAACTGCAGTACAAGTTTTTGTTCCTTTCGTTTGGGTTCCCTTTTAGGCGAGGTGGCCACTTTACGTACGGGGCGTCTTTGATCGTCATCAAGATCTCA